TGGCCGTTCAGACTGAAGTCGCATTGCAAAACATCGGATATGTATCCGATTTAGGACCACATATGAAAGTGGCCTGGGCCGGATTTGAAAAAAATCAGATTTGTGCTGTTTACACTGTCATAAGGAAATTGGATATGGGTCACATTTGGGCAAAAAGATTGGATTTGAGCCACTTCAGCCTGCAGTGTGACCGTATGCACCTGTACAGTCTCTTGTGATTTAATACACCAACATTGCCCTGTATTTTACCTTTATGATGATCATTTTTTGACATTGCCAGAAATGTCTAAATATGTTTATTATTGGTCATAGTTAAAGGTGATTTTGTATTGGACAACATTACTCTATACCGACAGGTTACTGTAATTTTTTTGTCCTCCCAATCTCCATAGGTGAGGGGGGCAGAAGTGTAGGAACATTTCTCAATATAATACAGTCAGAACACCACCTTGAACTATGGTCTTAATTCTAAAACATATGATTGAATTAACACCTTTATGACTGAATTTGTACATGATAAAAGTATGGCAGAAGAACTGCCTTAAATTGCACTGGTGTGCCTAATAAATGGGTTTATCAAGTTTGAATGTGTGGTACAATGGATCAATAAACACTAGGTGCTGACATAGGAGAGGAAACTCAGCAATCTTTGATTCTACAACTTGTCTGTTGCCCTGTCTGAGCTCTCTTAAGAATACTGCTATATTCCCACTGGCATCATTAACAGAATCTGTTTTATTGGCCAGGTGTGTCGGACACACGAGGAATTTGACTCTGGTACATTGGCTCTCAGTGTGCATGTACATATCCCCATGCAAGGGGCAAGTAAACAGTAAACCAACATAAGGCTAGTATAACATAATAAGCAGTATTAACAGTAACAAACAATGCATACAATGCAAAATAATCAGTATAAACAGGCAGTAAACAATGCAGACAGACAAAGGTATGCTCACTGGGAAACGAGATAAATAGGAATAAAAACAGACTCTCGGACAGAGAACTCACAGACACAGAAAAAGAGGTATTAGTAAAGGGATTGAATTTTGCGGTCACACCCAAACAAATCCCTGTGGTAGACTTCATCACAGCCACAGAGATAGCCATTAGGAACAACAAGCTGGCCGAGACAGAGGCGGAAGAACTGCGGATGAAGGTCACAGCTGCTTTGGCCAGTGCCAAACTCCCACCCCCGAACCTTACCCCTGAGGAAAGGAGGGCTTTAGCTGCACTAGATAAGGATGAAACCACCACAATCCTTCCAGCAGAGAAAGGCAGGTGTACAGTAGTCCTAAACTCAGCTGACTATCAGACCAGAGTTTCCAACCTTCTCAGTGACACCACCACCTATGAAGCACTGAAGAGGGACCCCACCAGTGGGTACAAGAATAAGGTTATAGACTGTTTACAGAAGCCGGAAAAGGAGGGGGTTATTGACCGGCGGCTATACTACAGACTATACCCCGGGGAGGCCATCCCTTGCATTT